TGTGTGTGTGTGTGTGTGTGTGTGTGTGTGTGTGTGTGTGTGTGTATATATATATATATATATATATATATATATATATTAATGTGTGTGTGTGTGTATATCACCCGAATTCGCGACATCGCAACATACTCCAATTCACAATACACATTACACAAATCTATACATCAACTAATTCCAAATTAAACCGTTTGTCGCCATTTTCTTTGCATCCTTGTAGTGAGTTACATAACTACCCGCAGTATAACTTTATCTGCGACACCAAGGCAATGAATTTGGCGAAGTCGCTTAAGAGCAGATTCATCGACGAGGGCTTGAAGCATTTCTTATTTAATCTGCAGATGTTGGTGGAGGCTGAATTATTCATAGGTATTGTGTGCGTATCTGACTTTTGCATGTGTGGCCATTTCACTGTGTGTTTGTGTTAGACATGTGTGTCTGCACATGTAGTTTATTTACCTACCTGACTCCCAGGTGTCTGACTCTTTCAGTATGTGTGTATGTTAGATATGTGGGTCTGTATATATGGATCGTGTGCCTATCTCACTCCCAGGTGACTTTTTCAGTGTGTATTTGTTAGATATGTTTGTCTGATATATGGATTGTGTGCCTATCTCACTCCCAGGTGTCTGACTATTTCAGTGTGTATTTGTTAGATATGTGTGTCTGTATTGACTACACGGTCTGCACATTTTAGTGTGTGTTTATGTCAGATAGGCGTGCGTTCATAAGTTTTGTTTGCCTGTTTGACTCCCGCGGGTCTGCCCATTTCCATGTGTTGTGTTAGAATTGTGCGTCTGTATGAGTAATGTGTGCTTGTCTTAGCAACGCGTATCTGCACATTGTGTCTCCTTGTTTACAAAGGCGTGTCTGTTTAAGTCATCCATAAATTTTTTTCCCTTGACCATAAGGCGGATGTGTACCTGTACTACTATCGCATGTCTACATTTTTCACAGTATTTGTATAAAAAATGCGTGTCCGTATGGGCCGTGTGTTCCAGTCTTTTTTCTGCGTGTTTGCACCAGTTATATGCACCTGAATTACTAATGCGCGTCTGCAGACGTGATGTTTGTCTGTCTTACTACTGTCTGTTTACACTGGCAGCATGTGTTTGTGCCATATATGTTTGTCTGCGTATGTAGTGTGGTACTTTTGCGTTATATGTGTGTGCGCATGTACGTGTGTTTAGTGGTGTGTTTGTTTGTTTGTGATAGTTAAGTGCGATTATGCAAATATTGTATGGCTGCGTAAGTGGAGTGCATATGTGTTAGTAGTGTGTTTTTGATATAAAAGAATGGTAGTTTTTCGCTGAGGGTGTATCGTCGGATACATGTATGTATGCATGTATGTACGTACGTATGTATATATGTATGTATATATGCATGTAGGACCGAGCCTGCTGAATGCTAGTATCAAATTGAGCCTGCTATTGTTAGATAGTGCGTTCTTGCGCCCGATGTTCACACTCTTCATCGCCAGTCGCAAAGCGCAATTAGCAGCCACTTAACCAGCCAACATAATCAGTTCGACAGAGTCGCAAAAGTAGATACAATGGTATCAGCCAAGAGCAGAACAGACTCCTTAAAAAGTAAAATAGAAGGTGCAATTCCCACTCTAAATGAGAATATGAGCCTAAAGTCTAGAGGCTATGGAATTGGGTTTTATACGATACTGTCTATGTTCCCTGGAATACTAAAAGATGATCTCTTTCTACATTGATTATCAAGTAGTCGTGTTTATGTACGCTTCTGATCCTCTTATAACACTTTTGTAACTACCCGCACGATTACATTGTGCTAATGCACAAGAATTGAAATATGTATCACGTCTAAGATACCGATCGACGAGAATCTTTACTTTAAATACTTATTATGTCATGCTAGTATAGATGCGATGCTTATAGCAGCCCATTAGCCTTCAGATCCATGTAGATACGCTTGGATATAACGTTCCCTAGAGAGTCTTCATACTCTTCATCATTATCCGCCGCGAATTCTTTCTCCTTCTTCTCATTTTGCAGCTTCTTGAATACTGAGTTCGGGGGGACAAAAGGCTATGGAGTGAGTATTTCGTTCTAACGGAGTGCACTTTCAAATGGGCATAACATATAAATCCATATAGATACAGTCGGGTACACACATATACATACATGTAATGGGTATCTCAAATGATCGGATGTACTTTTGAGTAAGCATCCAAGCATATATGCAAGTGCATACTGCTAAAGACATGTATACATGTCTACATGTACAAAAAAGCACCGCTACAGAAGTATTAGTGTATGTACATATGTAAGTATATATGTATGTGTGTGGGGGGGGAGGGGGGCGAGGCGCCGCGAATTCGCAATAACATCACACAATAACATCACGTAAACCAATATAACTACAACAGACTCGCATCGAAGTCGGTATGCTCATGTCTATCGAAGTCTATATGCGACGCGTGTGACAATATTGAATGGCTTGTACTGGAGATTCATAATATACGCACGCATGCCTTGGGCGTGTTAGGCCTCTCGGGCATACGCTCATAATTACAATCTACCATCCATCCGGATACAGATACATAAACACAAGACATATTTTCAACTGCTCATATATACAATCTACCATCCATCCGCATACAGATACATAAACACAAGACATATTTTCAACTGCTCATATATACACTCTACCATATATCCGCATACATATACATAACACTAGACATATTTTCAACTGCTCATATATACAATCTACCATCCATCGGCATACAGATCCATAAACACAAGACATATTTTCGACTGCTCATATACACACTCTACCATATATCCGCATACATATACATAAACACAAGACATATTTTCAACTGCTCATATATGCCATCTACCATCCATTCGGATACAGATACATAAACACAAACATAATTTCAACTGCTCATATATACAATCTACCATCCATCCGCATACATATACATAAACACAAGGCATATTCTCAACTGTTCATATATACAATATACCATACATCCGCATACATATACCATATACACAGACTATTACTCATTTGCCAATATAAGCAAGACACAAAAGTGCACGCTACATTTGTGTGTAGTCAGAGCCGAAGGTATCCATGGTTATATACTTGTACTTACAGGCTTCGGCGTCGGCTTTGGTGGTGACATTGATGAAATGGCTGGTGTTGGGAATGCCCAGCATGCGCATGCCGTGAGCGTGCTTAGCCTCTTGGAAGTGCCGATGGAAGGCCTTAGGCCCCCTGTATGACGCTCCTCCGCAGATTTCGCATTTGTAGTTGATGTTGAGACCGTGCAACTGTGGGTAAAGGCGGGTGAAGTAGGTAAAATGGCTGTGAGTACAGACACGGGTTGTTCGTCTATTGTGTTCAGCAGAATGTAAATACGCACACTTCTTCTCAATTGTAAGCAAATTCATCATTAAGCGATTATTCGGAAGTTGAACCTATATTGAATACGTGGTCGTATACTGAATGTGTGGTCAAATAGTGAAATGTGTGGTCATATATAAAATACTAGCTACTTATGGAATATTTAGAAACCAAACACAAAGGCAAACATATATACCCGCATAGTAGCTCACATCGTCCGAACATCAATACAGAAACAAACACTTGCAAATATAGTATATAATTGAACACCAACACATATACCATGTCACCACATGAAAACATATATAGACGCATATACCCAAACTATTAATACATGTACCCCGTATGATCATGATGAAAACTAAAACATACTACATACTCATACCAACCACCACTACATATACCCAGTATAGCCAGAACGAAATCAATCGCATATACATAGCCGCATAAATATAACCACCGATACAAATACCCAGCAACCCCAGGATGAAACCAGTTGCTTATATATATATATACATAAATACATATGTAATCGAACACCAATACGTGCACCATGTATGACCAGGAGCATCTATGAACGCACATACATCGAGGATTCTTGAATTTTACCCAAACATCAATAATACATATGCCCGAAATAACCAGGATAAACCCCTTCGCATGTATACACGCATACACTCGCGTTTGAAACACCATAAATGTTATATAATATACTCAACCACAAATATCTAAATTTAAATACCTTATACAACCAGTACGGAATAGGTTTGCCATCCCAGCCCAAAGGTAGGTTCTTGGGATTGTAAATAGCCTTATCCTCGTCATCGTCATTGTCGCCGTCGCTGTCAGCATCGAAGTCGTCTTGATCTTCTTCCAACTCCTCAGCTGTGCGTGCTTGTTTCCTCTCCACGCTGTATGTCAAGTAGAGAAATGTAAGTATCCAACCGCCCAAAATGTAGTGTATATAAT